TATTAAAGTTTTTCTTAAATTTCTTCAGATTTGGCCCACACATTTATAAAAGTAAACTTATGGATTCTGTTTTATAGGAAAACACATATATAATCAGAATGCTTAAAAAATTTGCAAAAGCTTACGAATCACAAAATGATAGTCTCACATTTAGAAAACCCAGATTTTAATATTGATGCATGACTGGATATGCAACAGCCTCTGAAGAGGATTTCAAATAACATTTTAGTGGGATAGAAAAGCATTTCATTTTGGAGAAAAGATTTTTACACATAATGTGACATGACTTTAGCTAAAAGTGCTAGAGTAATGCATCTATATATCAGATATTTTTAAAGTTTCAGTATCTCATTTATTCTCTTGAAACTGTAAGATAGGGTGAAATAATATGACAGTGATATAACAATTTACTTAAATGAATAGTATAACACATATTGAGCTATTTGTCATTTCAAACTGTCCTTCTCTAACTGATCTCTCAGTATTCCTTAAGATATGAGTAACTGACTAACTCTTTGTGAACTGAAACAGATCTATTAGCCTAAAATAAGAAAGCAAGGACATACAGCTGGTTTCTCTTAGTTCACTGGAAAGAAAGCTTTGTGCTAACATTGTTTGGACAAGATATCATGCCTGTATCTTGTACTCTGTATAACTACTTCAAGGACAGCAATGAGCAATGTATAAATTACTGTAACTCTCCTACTAACCTGTTTTGGAACTCTGTTTTATTGTTTTAATTTTTTTCTCTTTAAAATAAAATTGTAAAAGAGCAAGTGCAACTTAACTGGAAGCCAGATGCTGTGGAAAAATGTGATGCTTAGAATTTTCATGTTTCCCATGAGTAATTATTCTTAAATGAGAAAAAAATAAATTTTTTTCCACAAAATCTATATCTACGTATTTACAGAAATGTACAATATGCTGTCATCTCTATAGAAACTACACTACTTAAATTCTGTTGCACTATTACTGAACATCAGTGCTCATAACAAAATAAATTTTTACAAAGATGGTGCTATTGAATGAGTTATAGTGTTACGTCTCACCATAAGAGCTTTAGGTATCCCATTAAAAGGTTAGAAAAAGACTTAATGACAGAAAACTTCACTGTGAGTAACTAAAGATACTTTGAAGTAATGTATATAGATAAAATTTAGAAGTATGGAAATAGATCACTTGTGTCATCTCCCTAAAATGAAATGTAAACTCTGGAATAAATATTAAATAGCAATAATAGTAGATATGGAATAATAAAGTAACTAATGAGTACAAAATTATTATTAGTGATTAAGTTAGGCTGAATATATCTCTTTAAATTCCAACTCTCAATAATTTCTGTTGTCAATAGCAATCATATTCAAGCGGAATATATTCAGAGTTTACAGCTGCTCAAGGGATTGAGAATTTTGGTTGAATATACTTTAGATTGTAATGAGTTGAACTAGAAAAGATACATCGTTATGGATTCACCCTGCAACTCAATGTAACAGAGCAGACATTCACATGGAGATACACATGCATGTGCACACATGCACACAAGACACACTTTCAGAATACCCTGATAGAGATCTCATATATGTTTTAAATAATCTAAATATATGCATTGAGTTATGCTGAAAATTGTCTTTATTAAACCTTCTAATATTACACCCTAATGCTAATATTAAACATGAGGGTCAGTTTGAGAATTTACTTTAATGGTAAACTATTAAACATAATATACAAACATAAATTTTGCTAAAGGAAAGCTTAAATTATTTATTTGTAGATTATAACCAAAAGTACAGAAGTCCAGTGTTTAATGGAAAAATACACGTTTTCTTCAGTGAGATATCTCTTACTATACGAGAATGATGGAGAGTTTCCCTCAAATGAAATTCTGAGCAGGAATATTTGGGGTGACTTCACTTTGTTTTCTGCAAAACCCTGTGTGACAGATACAAAGACAAAAACAGAAGAGAGAATGAAGGAGTAAAGTGAGAAAGAAGGATATACCAAGTAAATTCAATTGTATTACTTAAAATCATATGATTTCCAACGTATTTATCTCCTCCCAAAAGGTTTGAAAGTTTAAAGAGATTTAGTTTCACTGGGATGTAGGAAAGGCCGTCCTCAGGGAACCATAATTCTGAGGAATCTCTGGAAGGCATGAGGCAGCGGAGACAGATGGAGGACCGCGCTGACCCACGCAGAGTAGCCTAGATCCAAAGCCGGTGAAAGGGGAAAACCTGGAGGAGCAGAAGCGCAGGTTTTCTAAACTGAACCCTGGAAACAATCAGAGTTCAGAACAGAAGGGCCTGGAACCGAGGCGAGCTGGGCAATGAGGCAGAGACCAGAAGGATTTAGATTCTGAGCTAGTTATTCCCACACCGGGTGGCTGGTGAGATCTTTCTTGCCAGAGAATGTTTAAAAATGAACTGAGGGAGATGGCGCTGGGATCTGTCAGTGTGGGCAGCGGAGACAAAGAGAAGAGATTTACCACAGCGAACAGCTGGTGCCATTAATGAGAAGTAGAAGGGAGAAATACATTTGGAAAGGATCCTAAATCATCACGTATTTTCTTTCCTACGGAACCCTGGGAGTTAGCATTGTAACGCTAAACAAACAGCGCTCACAAAACACTGTTTGCAAGATTAAGCAGCTTGGCGAGCAGCGAGAGAGACCAAGTGCAGGACAGTTAGGATCTCCGCCAATGACCAGAGCACTGGTGAGCCAGCGGTGGGCTATGAACTCACACTGCACAGGAAAAGCAGTGTTCAAAGGATCTGTCCTTGTGCACAGCTCCATGGCCAGGAGTCTGACTGAAAAGAAATTGGGGCTCTGTTGAATGCCCTCAGTACACACACAAAATTCCTACAGGGGAATCCTTGAAAATTCACTAGCTAGGGATTAAGCAAACATGGTAGATAAGGATGTCGTATTTTCATAAATTTTGACTGAAGTGGATGATGACATAAACAAAAATGTTTGTTTATGCATGCTAGTTTTAGGAAAAGTTGCCTAAATACTAAAAGAGAAAAAGGTTATGCAAATTTTTTGTGTGCTGTACCCTCAATAATACTGAGTTACTGCAGTTAACTGAAGAACCATTTCTGTCCACACAACATGACAGAAACTGGCCGTGATTAATAGTTGGAAGGAAACGCTGGCTTCAGAAGACAGATGTTGAAGCAAGGACCACTAAGGTTAGAATTATTTCACTGAACATTTTTCTCCTTCGATAACCTTTAGAGGTTGTGCTTCACTTCCACTTTTTGAGGAAAAATCCCCCAAAGTAATAACAGTGTAAGAACATGATCCAGGCTGCTCACATAACTTTCTAGTCCTTGGTAAACTCTCAATCCAGAGAAAAGTGCCAGATAAATAATTCATCCTGCCTTAGGGCCTGGAGTGGGAAAGACACACACTGGGCATTTACAGCAAAAGTGTTGCTCACTTTGTTACTCAAATGTATAGGGTGATAGCATTGTGTTTTATGGCCCTACGTGAATTTTGCACTGCAGTTAGGAGGCTGAAGCAGGAGGATGTTAAATTGCAGCTACACTATGGTACTTGGCTTTTTAAATCTCAATTCTCCTGACTTTTTATTGGTTGAATATTTTTGTGATGTTTTTATTGTTTTGAATGTTTTATCTAATATTTTCTAGTATCAGCTTTTTATATTTATCAACTTCATCTAGTCTTGAATATCTATGATTTTCATTAATCATTGTAGCTGCAGAGCAGGCTTTCAAAAATGAACCATTCAAAAATGAAAACAGCCAAAGCTCAGAACAGAAAGGACTGGGACCAAGACGAGCTGGCTATGAGGCAGAGACTGAAAGAATTTGGACTCTGAGCTACTGATTCCCACGCAAGGACGTGAAGGTAGGGAAGACCAAGGGAAAGGGAAAGAGAAGTAAACGTGGTGTAGCATGTGTGTGTGTACCGACTCTCAAACATAAATGCAATTATTAGGCACTTTACACATATGCTACACAGCTTCGCTACAAGCTTTATATTTTAGTAAACAATCACAACAACAGCTCCAGAATGAGATATCTTCTCACTCTGGGTACAATCACTATTATCAAAAACAAAAAAGTCAAAGAGGACATATGCTGGTAATCAAATTAGAGCCCCCACAGAGATCTGGTAGAATTGTAAATTAGTACAGTTATTATGCTAAATTGTACAGAAATTCCTTAGAAAGCTGGTTATGCAACTTCCACAGACTCTAGCAATTCCTCTGCTGCATACACACCCAAATGAAAGGAGATCAGTACCATGCCAGCGGTGTATCTGCATGACTGTGCTTTGGGCAACACTATTCCAAATATCCCAAAGAGGGAATCAGTCAGTCTAGTTGTACATAACAAATAAATAGTTACAGAAAATGTGTGTGTGTGTGTGTATGTGTGTGTGTGTATCTGTGTGTCTATGTATGTGTGTGTGTGACATATTATTATTCACTGGTACAAAGGAATGCAATTTTGTCCTGTGGTAATGTGGGTGAAAGTGGAGGACACTATGTTATATGAAAAAGTCAGGTAGAGAAAGACAAATACCACATATTCTCATTCATATCTAAGATCTACAAGATTGATATCATAGAAGTACAGAGGAGAATAATTGTTTTGAGAAGCTAGGAGGTGTAGGGGTAGAAGGGATGGACCGAGGCTCACTCATGGGACAGGCGTGTAGATGGGTAGGAAGAATCACTTCTGAAGTAAAGCCAGTAGGTAACTGACACAACGGATAGCTACTAGAGAGGAGTTTGAGTGTTTCTGACACAAATATATGATGAATATTTGAGGTGACACCAGTTGCCCTGAAATTATGATTACACATTTTATGGATATATTAACATATTATGCTGTAACTAATAAATATGTAAAATAATTGTGTGCCAATTAAATTTGTTTTTTAAATTTAAAATACATATTTGGAAATGTTCCTACTACAGAACTACTTACCATAAGTCACCAGTTTAATCAGAACAGCACACATCGTATTACCTGTGTCTGTGAGTCAGGAGTTCAGAGTGCTCTCGGCAGTCTCAGAAGGGTACGACCAGGTGTATCTTGAGCTTCAGTATCATCAGAAGCACAAAGGCAAAGAAAATCATTTTCCAGGTGCCCCTGAGCTTCTGGCTGAATTTATATCCTTGCTGATGTAAATCTGAGAGAACAATAACTTGCTGTCCGTCACCGGCTACTGCTGGGAGCCCTAAGGGGGCTGGCAGGTGCATGTCCTGTGCTGTCCACAACCTCTGACGCACGACACTGTAGCCTCTCAGAGCCAACAAGGAAGACTCCTTCTGCTTGAAGGAGGGTCCAGTTTCTGTCAAAGGTTTTCAAGAACTAGGATCAGCTTTGTTTTTATTAAGACAATATGAACAGTTATGATATCTTAAGTTTATCTAGAAAACCTGTCATCTACTAACAATAAGGTCGCAGGCTGTGCTCAGCGAGGGCAGGAGATGAGACAGGAGATGACCACAGGAAGGGCAATCAGGAGAAGGAGATTTGATAACGACCGCAGGAAAATGGCTATTGCACTCTGGTAACACAGCTACGTGATCTAATTTGATAATATTGAGGGGAATTTGTTATCTATAAAATAATCCTTTTATAGTATTAAAAATTTCTCATGACTGTTCTTTAAATTTGTTCTATAACTTACTCAAGACTGTTGTTTTTTGATTTCTTTATTTCTAAGCACTTATCTTTCATGTAATACTAAGTAGTAAGATGAAATTATTTGATCTAAATTTATTATTTTAACCATGAGTTATTGAGCTTAGTTATGTACCAGACAGTGTACTAGCTAAATGTCTTATCTTGCTAATTAATTAAAATATCCTCAACTTATATAAGTTTCTTCACAGCTCCTATTGTGTAAGTGACAGCTGTAATGGCAAATTTGTATCTCTCTGTATAAATGGAGATCATACATATTTTGATGTGTTATAATAGCAATAGCTTTACTCACACTAAAAAAGTGTATAAAAAGTAATTCTATCAATTTGCACAAAAAGTTTCTGAATTGACTGCACTTTGACCTTTTTTTTGTATTCCTTACTCTAGGAAGTAAAATATAAATTATATTCATTTATATTATAATATATATTAAATTAACTTCATTTGGATTGCCTGCAATGCTGGAAATAATTTGTGGAAATTTACTTCTCACTCTGTCTCAGTCTATTATTTCAAAGACTATGTTTATACGATGTAAATTACCATTTTACTTCTTCAGTGGAATTTAGTTTCTGAAAAGTTGTTTTTTTTTCTTTTTTTTTTTTTTTTGGTTTTTCTCTGGTACCGGGAACCGAACTCACGACCTTGTGCTTGCCAGGCAGGCGCTTTGCCACTGAGCTAAATCCCCAGCCCCTAGTTGTTTTGTTTTGCTGCTCTTGTCCTCCTTGTTGCTATAATTTTCAGTATAATTCATTCATACCGCTGTGAGAGTTAAGGATTTTGCTTATTTTAATCTCTACTTGATAAACTTATGCAACATATTTTTAATTTTAATTTTGATACTGATTCTGTTTATGTCAAACTAATCCAGCCTTTAAAAATTGTAGGTAGTTAAATTGGTTTTTTCCTTAAACTCTTCTAAAATTAAAAGAAATTAAATCTCTCTGTTGTTGCCTTTGTGCTCTTGGGCAATCCTCTCCTCCAGTGTGCTGGTTTCAACAATTTCCTTCTACGCTACAGAATAACTCAAAACATAATGGGATGTCAGTTCTGAGACCGGGTTACAAAAATGGCAACTTCTGCTTTGACTGAACCTGTTCTGGTTCTCACGTGCTTGTTCTGATGAGTGAGCCATGATGAGCCGTCATGTGGTCAGCGGCACCATGCAGGGCACGTGTGGCAGCTCTCCCCGGTCAGCTTCAGGGAGACAGAAACGATCTGAGCATCTCCAGTGGACCAAACATGGATCTTCTCTATGAGCTGTTTCTCAAAGTAAGTATTTTTAGTCCATCTATATAACAATATTAAAAGTTAGGGGAGGAATCAGACTGAATAGTTTTAAGGCTTCAAGAACAAGCATCATATTTGTCAAAAACTAAGGCAGAGGAATAACTTCATTAAATTTAAGTAATGTGGATTGAGGAATATCTTGTCATAATATTTTAATAAAGAATAATTTCTTGTATATTCATGAAATTTTTTGATACCTAATTTAATTATAATACTTAAAACAGGTTAGAAAGATTGAATGCTTAAAAAACAAAAGAGGAACCCAAATTGTATAAATTAATATGAGGCCTTAAAATTAAATGAAGAACATTTTAAATAGATTAAGTTGTACAGTAGGCCAAGCAGTCATATATCAAATTTAAAAAGACAAATGTTACTGAATAATAATAACAATAACAATAAATAGAAGAAGAAGAAGGAGAAGGAGAAGGAGAAGGAGAAGGAGAAGGAGAAGGAGAAGGAGAAGAAGGAGAAGGAGAAGGAGAAGAAGAAGAAGAAGAAGAAGAAG